AGAAAATTAACTCTATCCCAGCTGAAACCAGGACAATGATTGAATGCCTTTCTTTTCTAAATGCTGCTGTTTAATGCCACAGTGGCATTTCGCCCCCGGGCTGTTTCATTGAACAGCAGAGGAACAAAGGAAGGAAACCCTCGATCGCTTGGTGGATGCTGCCCATTGCACACCCAGTTTCATGGCTGTGTCTATCCACTTCCAGGGTGTTGAGCCTTGCCTCAAAGCATAGCACCTCTATTGAGAGCACAAAAAACAGAGTTCCTGTAGGACCAGGGAGTGTGGTTCATTTTGCAAATAAAGAGTTGCTTTGACCTTGTGCAGGGAAATGGGCCCTGTCAGGCCTGGAGTACCAGGGAAGACATCTGCTCAGGCAGCACGGGCTCAGGTCGTTAGTTGGTATTTACGGCTGGGAATTGGTGATATTGCTCTGTGTATAGAGAGCTGCAAGGTTTGAATACTGAAATGCTCCTATTTACTAACAGCTCTATGTTTTAATTTAAAATTAATTCAAATTTAAATGAATCATTTAACCCTTAATTAGGTCCATGCTTTCATCTCAAACAGATTAATCAAACAGAGGGAAAATTCACTTTGCTGCTGAAAAGACAGTCACATTTCTTTAAGCAGTAACTACCATAGATTGCTACATGCATTTGTTTTTCTTTCACCGAAATAGTTTTCCCTGCTCTCTGTCTCTGAGACAGACTCATCAGTTGTGGCTTAAGGAAATTCATTTTCGTACAGTAACGAGGACAACTGTAGTCCTGAAACTCTTACCAGCAGGTGACTTCAGTAAAGTCAGTGTGGCTCTCACTCAAAGAGATTTAAAACTGTATGCAGTCTGATTTCAAATAATATTTCAGGTTGGAGTTATCACAGGAGTTACCAGGGTCAACAGATACTGGGCATCTGACTTGAGGTGACCTTCTTAAAAAGCAAACCCAGACAGCCTTGCTGTACGGTTTATATCATGTATGTCGAAACTTTCAAGGTTTCCCTTACTCACTTTAGTTTGCTGAGAGGTTTTTCTTCCCAGCCCATTGCTTCTACTTCCTCTCACATCATTCCCGCTTGTGAGGGAAAGGAAAATTCCTTAGCTTTTGGAAGAAAATGTTGAGAAGGAGCAAGTGCTGTTCACAGCTGGTTCCCATGGTGAAATTCGAGGTTCTGTGAAGACTTCCTGTGCTAGTCCTTTTATTTTCAACCTGACTGAAACCAAAGCCATGGTATTCACCTCAAAAAGCCAAACTTTCTTCCATCAGTACATGTAATCCAATTTTTCTGACATTAAAAAAAAAAAAAAAAAATGCCTTTTGAAGTAAAGGCTTCATTTTTTCTTTTATGTATCGGAATTAAAAAATGACTAGGAAAAGAATAATAATAGTAACTACATTGGCAACGTATTCTATTGGCACCCCCCTTTCCAAGCTTCAATTACAAGTATAATTGCTTTTTTTTTTTTTTTCCCCTCCTTTGGGCTGCAGTTTTGAATAATCTTAAATTAGTCTGACAAAGGCAGAAAGCGTGAGACAGCCTGAGGGGAAGACACGAGATTGGGATGCCCTCGCTAGGGCATACCGGGGCAGCAGGGGTCCGGCCAGCTCATCCCCCTGCTCCAACTGCTCACTCTGTACCACGATAGCAGAAGTGTGAAACGATGAAATCCCTCTCCCTCTGGAAAAAAAGAAGCCTGATCTCGTTTTACCAGGGTGTTTCCTGCATGCTCCTCTTTCTGCTTCCTTTTTTCTCTGGCCCCACACCACCACCACCACCTTTTCTTAAATGAGGTCTACGAGTTTCCACCTGAGGGATGAAAGAGACATTTATTAATGGAGCAGTTGGATTCCCTCCTTTCTCGTCCTCACCCCATAAAACCTGTCCACTTCTTACACAAGCTTGTTTACTTACATTAAATTCATGGCCATATTAAAATGTTGGTGGTAGGCGCTTTGAAAGTGTCCCAGATAAACAGCCTTACTGTAGTTCTGTCCTGTAAATGAATACTCATGTGTTATGATGCTATGAATAAATTATGCTTAATCAGCAGTGGAAATTGTGTCTTGTAGAAAGACCAACAATTTGAAAAAGGTTCAGGTTTAGGTTATTAGTCTTTTTCCAATCTTTACATTAAACTAGTATATGAAATTATTAAAAAAATGAAAAAATTATACTGTATCTAGTCATAAATACATCTTGGTCTTGTGTATGACTGCCCATAAATATAAAAATTTCCCTTCAAGCTGAGCAGACAGGGTTCAGCGAAACCATTTGAATTTAATGCCTGGCAGCGGGAGCTTCCACGGGAAGTTTTGGTGAAACTGCTGCGTAAATATCTGGACAGATGTAGTGCGATGTTTGTTTCTTAACGGTGTTTGTTTAGTTACTAGCGCTGGTAAGAGCGGGATTGGCATTGGTTCTTTTCTGCCTGGCTCGTTGTCTTAGGGCCAGGAATGGCTGTGCTGTGCCAGGAGACCGTAAAATCATTTGAGGCTCCTCTGTCAGCCGGAGGGAGACCGAAGAGGCTCGCTTAGGTACGGCACATGTGTCGCGGGGCAGTATTTGGGAGGGAATGTGATTTGAGTCTTAAAAGGCTGCAACAGTAACAACAAAAAAAAAACCCCAAAATCCCGTTTCCTGCTGCGTTTTCTCCTAGTGGAGGTGTTTAAGAGGGGCTGAGGTTTCCTTTATTTCCTCACGCTAAACAGAAATCCCCAAACACCCTTGCAGCCTCCGAGGAGATGGAAGCACCAGAACCGCCAGCCGGAGGAGGACCGGCTGTGCCAGCTCAGGCGGGTCGGCGTTAGGCTCTGTCACCTTCGCCACAAGGTCGCTTCTACCAATTCTGCTTTCACAGCTTGCCGGTCGGCCCCGCGCCTCGCAGGGCTCAAACTTGGGATTGTTTCCTCAGGGCTTGCAGGAGAGAACTTGGAGCAGGGGGTGCCTTTCCCAGCTGCTTTGCTGGTGTGGAAGTCGGAGGCAGCAGCTGCGGCCAGGCGCCTTGCTTTGCGAGGGCTGTGAAGTGCTGAAGAGCGGCTGAGATCGGCGCTGCCTTGCGAAACGCCTCATGCTTCTCACGCTATGTTCAACGCCGTGCGAGGAGGGTTTCCTTTATTAGGATGTTTCAGAATAGGACCTACAACTGTTACAGGGGGTTGTCTTCTCTTTACTCGCCAGTGCGTTTCACTCGGGTGTTTGGCACCAGCATTTGGTTGTGGACAATAACATGGAAGCTGAACATCCAGTCTAATGCTGCAGCTCTCCTCTCTCCCCCGTCACTTACAAAGACGCTGGGATTTTTGTTCTGACTTTTTTCCACCTCAGGGTACCCAACCAAACACTTTTCTGCTTGGGCAGTGCATGAATGAACACAAAAGAACACATGGTCTTGTATCTTGGATTTTATACTACGTTTATGAATCATTTCATCTCCATAAGCAAAACTGAAAAGCGTGTCCCTGTTTAGGCTTACACTAAGACTGGTGAACCCATTCTTTTGGCTTCAAATTAGCATTTAATTCAGTGACAGGTCCTGGGCAATTTTATCTTAACTGTCTGGGCTCCAGACACAAAAAGAAGTCGTGTTTTCCTTTGTATTGCTCTTTTTTTTTTTAACATTATATTTGTAATGAGAATGTATTGGGGTTTTCCTAGTGTGCTTGTGCGTTAGGCAGTGTTTGCTGTGGAACCAAAGTGTAGCAAAAGGTGAACGCATTTTAAGATATGCTCCCTTTTGTTACGTTGTGTGTTTGTGTATGGTTGTTGTAGGTATGAGTACAGACCTGCGGGTGGCCAGTGTCAGCCAGAATGCTTTTACTTGGTAAATTCCATTTGGAGAAGGATGCATGTCTTGGGTGGAAGCAGCGGCTGAACAGTAGAGTCTGCTGATTCTTAGCTGATTTTGGTCTCCTGTTTTTTTTTTTTATTTTCAGACGGTGATACCATCTTGGTGGAAAGAAGTCAACAGTCTTCTTTCACTACATGGGTTTTTCATAAAAAGTTATCTGCTAAATTGTTCATTTCTGTAGCTTACTTCAAAGGCTGTTCTCTTCTGATACAAACATGGCCCTGAATCAGTCTAAAATGCAACAGGAGTCAAAACAGAGGGAGTGTGCCAGTGATAATGAAACACCACGACCCAGAATATTTCAGAAACAGCTTTTGCAGGTTCAAGCACCATCCCTAGAGGGCTGGATTAATGTAAAAAACACCCTCCTCATACAGACTATGCGAGTTCCTGATAGTATCAGAAGCAGCTCATTGAGCCTGATGCATGGTCCTTCAGACATGGAATAGAACTTTCACTGTTCAGGTTATTTTCTTGGTTTTGGCTTGCTTAGTCCTGCTGA